AACCACTGGAAATACTTGGACAGTTGTTAGCAGACGACAGGCACAGCTATAGAGCACTGGTAGAGGCTCTAGAACTCGGGTATGAACCAAAAATCTGTCTGAAGTCTACAGGGTTCGTTTTAGGATGAGAGTCCGTGCTAAAGGGGAGAGCCTGCAAGAGCTGGCACAGGATTTGGAAAGTATGGCACACAAGGCCTACCCAACTGCACCACCCAATGTCCTCAAGCTGTTGCTGAGGGATCAATTTATAGATGCCTTGGACAGTCCACAATTAAAGATACAAGTGAAGCAAGCACACCCCTCTACTATGCAGGATGCAATGGCCAGAGCTTTTAAATTCGAATCCTACATTATGTCCAGCACAGAGGTACCAAGGTTGGTACAGTCATCAGGTTTCAAGGCCAGAAAAGGACAGCTTTCAGAGAGGCTTCAGGGACTTTGCTGGCACTGTAACAAACCTGGGCACAAGAGAGCTCAATGCTGGCAACTTCGACACAGGGAAGATGCCACAACAAGAAAGGCTGCTACCCAGCAATGTTGTTGGAACTGTGAAGAGCAAGGACCTATGAGGAGCCAGTGTTAGAAAAATACTACCAATAAGTCAGCTTTGGGAAACCAGTAGTGGTTGGTGTTGAGGGACACCCACCAACCCCCATTGTGAAAGTCCCAACAGCTAAGTGTAAAATGGCAAGCACGTATAGTGTCTATGTGACAGGAAAGCTGAATGGCCAAAAGTGCAGCTTTGTCATAGATTCTGCATCTCAGCAAACCTTTGTGAGTATCAAGGTGCTAGATCACAAAGTAGTACCAGAAGCCATACAGAAGCTCAGTGGTGTGACAGGACATTATGCAAGGTTGTGGGGACCAGTGTGGGTAACTATTGAGCTCATGGGCATGAATGACAGACACAAAGTATACTTGGCTGACATTGAAGACCAATGCATATTAGGGTTGGACTACTTACTACCGAGGAAGTGTGTAGTTAACTTCGATAAAATGACGTTTGGGAATAACAAAGGCCAGATTCTGGTAAGTGTTGCTGCATCGGTTGATTTGCATGCCACAGCACTTAAGTCAACTACAATACCCCCTATGTCAGAGAAGATAAATTGGGGTAGAATAAAAGAACATTCCCAAGGAAGCCCGATGCATGTGGAAGCAGTGGAAGACCCATCCAAGCCAGCGGACGTGAAGATTGGAAGGTCACCTGTGGCAGGTCATCAAGTAGTACCTATAACATTGGCCAATTTCTCAAAATATGAGCAGACACTTAAGGAAGGGGCATTGTTGGGTGTGTGCCAGGAGGTAGAGCCAGTCAATGTTAAGACAAGAAATATAACCATAAAGAAAGGACATCCTCTCCTAGAATATTTAACTGACCTGTATCAGAAGAGCATAGTCCATTTGTCATCATCACAGGCTCTTCAGGTTAGGAAACTTTTGGCGAATTATGCAGATGTCTTTTCAAAAGGAGATCATGACCTAGGCTGCACAGACCTTGTAGAGCACAGAATAAACATAGGCAATCACTGTCCAATAAAGATCCCTCCAGCAAAGCGACAAGAGATGGAGAAGGTCATGGATGGCCTAATTAAGGAAGTGATAGTCGAGAAATCAGATAGTCCCTGGTCAGCTCCCGTTGTGTTAGTCCAGAAGAAGGATGGGACCCAACATTGCTGTGTGGACTTCAGGGCTCTTAACAATATAACTGAAAAGGACTCATACCCATTGCCAAGAATTGATGCCGAAGTGGAGCCAGGTGGTTTTCAACTCTGGACTTAAAGTCGGGTTTCCATCAAGTGAAAATGGCTGAAGCAGATACACCTAAGACTGCATTTAGTTATGGCCAAGGTCTCTGGCAATACTGTGTGATGCCATTCGATCTTAGCAATGCTCCAGCAACATTTGAAGGCTGATGGAAAGAGTACTGGAAGGCCTACAATGGAGGATAGCCCTAGTATACCTGGATGATGTCATTGTATTTGCAACAACGTTTGATGAGGAAATGATCCAGCTAGAGGAAGTATTCAAGCATTTGAAAGCAGAAAACCTCAAACTCCATCCAAAGAAATGCCATTTGTTCCAGAAAGAGGTGCTTTACTTGGGTCAT